TTTCGCGGGTGATTGCGTGCCAAGCAGACTCTAGCCAGCAACTTTTCCCAGCTGAGCAGGTATACAAACGTACAGGCTAAATGTAAACATAAACACAGTATATGGAAACTCAGCAATACTTATAAGAACGTATTATATGAAATGCACGATAACGCAAGGGAACGCAAGGGAATACAATAATGCAAATTTATACAACGCATATAAGGATGCAGATAGGCATGCACGAAATTTGTGTTTTTTCTCTCTCTCTCACCAACATGTAGGTAGAATGCAGTCGAGAACAGCTACGGCAGGTTGGAGCAAAGTCGAGTGTGTTCAATGAGTGCAGCAGCAACGATATGCAGCTAATGCAGTGGACGCAGATGAGAGCGTAGTGTGTAGTAGCACAGATGAAACCGTACTGTGTAGAAGCGTAGGTGTGCAGAAGCGTGTGTGTGTAAGGCGTTGTTGCTTAAGTTTGTAGGTTATGTTGTGTAGCCGGGTATTTAATCGCCTCCGCGGCTCGAAAAAGGCAATAAAAATTGCGATTTATTGCCCAGGCATGAGAGCCGCAGTTGGCGAATACCCTGCAAAGTGAGTTTTCACTCCAAGAAGGAAAACAAAATGAGTAAGGCAGAGTATTGACGGAGCGGAAGAAAGAGGTGTTGTACGTACCAGAGAGAGAGAGAGAGAGAGAGAGAGAGAGAGAGAGAGAGAGAGAGAGAGAGAGAGACCACGAAACCACAGCACTGACCTCGTCTGCTCCTCTCGCTCGACGGTGGTTGCTGTCATCGTTCTTGTCGTTGCTATAGATGCCGTTGTCCTCGTCGATGTTGTTGTTGTAGCTGTCGTTGTTGGTATTGCTGTTGGTATTGGTATTATCGTTGTTGGTGTTATTAAAATTATCTGTTATCGGTGTTCGGTGTTACTACTGGTGTTCACTGCTCTCCGATGCTCTCTTAGTTGCTTCCTTGTTAGAACACTCACATACACTGGTATCCAGCATATCTAAAGAAAAGGCTGGGTGCAACCCAGCCAACAACACAAAAAACACTTCCGCACACCGGGCGTCTATTTAGCTGGAAATCGTCAGCGAAGTCGCGGAAAAACTTCGAAAAACGTTAGGAGGAATCGGTGCCCGTAACGAACAACATAGTCACACTCGCAGCTTAGCACGAAGCATTGATGATGGCGAGAGTTCGACGCTAGAATAGAACTCTTTTCGCTTTAAGATTGTTTCAGTTAAAATTTATTCATTTTATTTCTCTAGTTATTAAACCATTTTTTTATTTTCATTTTCCTTGTTTTGATTTTAATTGTTAGTTGCTTAATAATGTTATTGTTATTATGACTTCAAGAACTACGTCCAAGACTTTGAATTCCGACATACTAATTCTGTTTGTTTTTCGGCAACCTCGAAACATGGGAGCAAGGGGCACGAAAAAATCTACACTTGCTACCAGCCTCTTGATGACAACATCAATCAAAATTATTGCTGGCTTCACACCATCCCGACACACACACTCACACTGACACCTGTCGGTCATCGTCTACTCAAACTTACGCAAATGAGAGAGGAAGGACAAGACGAGCCGGAAAATGAGTAAGGAATCGGGGAAGGAGTTGCCAGCCGCGACTGCGAGCGGACGTCTTAACCTGTGAAACGAACCTAAATCACGATTAGCGTTGAATCTCCATTCTGATATTACGCTCGCCCAACTAATTCTCGGCGAGGTGCTGCCTTATTATCTGCCACCAATTGATTTTTTTGACCTTGGACTTTGAGCGAAATTGGAGATTATCAATTGCCGATAATTAAGCTGAAGCTGGTTGTTGAGCTTTCCAATCACTTTTCGCACACGCGCCAAAGTAAGTAACGACGAGAGTTCGTAGTAAGCGATCATGTCTGTTGCTTATGACTCATGAACTTTGAGTCTGTTAATTGTCGTGCTCTTATTTGCGAATTAGCCTCTTAGCTTTGCCTTTATTTATCGATTAATTTAGTATTGGTGCGGCCGCATCTGCCACGAAATCCTCAACTGTCACGCTGGACAATTGCTCCCGCTTAGTTATTTGTCGTGCCGATAATTGTGATTAGTGACTCACCTTTTTATTTATTGTTATTTATATACTTCGTTTGCCGGCCGCAACCGAGCGTTGTAAGGAGCTCACAAACTACGTGTGCGATCCACTATCATTTTTTTAATAATATTTCTTTCCTTTGTAATTGTGATATGCACCCGTCAAATTCATTAATGTGCTTGAATACGTTTTGCCGTTAAAATTTTATCAATTAGATTGTGATAATAAATTTTGTCGTATTGATTTTCTTAATTTTCACGCGTAACCATTTATGTATTCTGTCTATGCGTTTTTTTTTGTCCCTTCCCTCCTTTTCTAGCCGCCATTTAACGAACAAGAATTTGCTATCTACCCTAGAAAAGCAAGTAAGTGAAGAGCGTCGATCAAATACGAAGAGGCATTGCTCCGCGATGTTCTCGAAGATTTATAATCAATTTACCTTTATAGGATGTCTGTTCAAAAAGTATCGCGAATTTTGTATGTTATCAAAAATTATTTATTTATTCATTAATATTTATTTTATCTCCTTTAAAGTCTTTAAAGTTTTTATCCCCTCAGAAATAACATATTTGTGCCAACGTTTTTTTCAATCCTCGAAGCGCTTAAAAAAATCATTTTTTGTGATCTTGTTCAGTCCCTTCTTCGATGCCATCTTTATCTACTCAATCGTGGCCTAGCGTCGTCCTTTCATGGGCCTCTTCAATTTTGGGAACAAGTAAAAGTCACAGAAGGCCAGGTCTAAGGAATACGGTGGCTGCGGCACCATTACTGTGTTGTATTTAGCCAAATATTCGCGCACAAGCAAAGATGTGTGAGCAGAGGCGTTATCATGGTGAAAAAGTCAGTTTTTGTTCTTCCACAAATCCGGACGTGTCTGGCGGATTACTTCACGCAAATTGGGGATAACTTGCAGGTAATATTTCTTATTGACCGTACTAGCCTGTGGCAAGAACTCATGATACTCCACGCCCCTGTAATCGAAGAAGAAGAAAACTGTGAGCAAAACCTTCACGTTCGACCGAACTTGGCACGCTTTTTCCGGTCTTGGCTCATGCGGCATCTTTCATTGGGATAATTGAGCTTTGGCTTCCATATCACAACCATAAACCGATGATTTATCACCAGTTATGATCCTCTGAAGCACATTTGGATCGTCACGGATCGAGTCCAACATCTCCTGAGCAATGTTAACGCGATGCTGTTTTTGGTCGAAATTGAGCAGTTTTGGCACGCATTTCACTGCGATCCGACTCATGCCCAAATCATTGGTTAAAATCGAATGGCATAAGCCAGTCGATATACTCGTATTCAGATCCTCAGAAACTTGTCTAACGGTGATTCGACGATTGGCCAATAATATTTTCTTCATTTTATCAATGTTTTCGTCTGTTGTTGACGTGCTCGGCAACATATGTGACATATCACCATATGCCACAGTCAACGTTCGGAATGCGTCCGCGCACTTTATTTTGTTTTTCACACAAAATATGATACAGATTCTTTGATCCAATTTTTAGAATAAGCAAAAATAGAAGACGATCGAAAACACATCCAAGCAAAACAGCTGTCAAAAATTAACTAAACATTCAAAATGACCGAACTTGTCAGCATAAGTAAGGGACATGAGTACAAACATAACGCTACAAAAAAATTAAAAATCAAATTTACGTAGCCTGCGGAAATTCAAAATTCACGATACTTTTTGAGCAGACCTCGTAAGTATTTTATTTTCATTCAAAAACTAAGGAATTTATTTTCTAGTTGACTTGAATTTATAAACCGATTTCTTTAATCGATTTTATTAAGTCCGGAACTCGGTAGTCCAGACTTATTATAATATATATTTCTCACGTAAATAATATAACGACTTATTTATAATCTATTTCAATTGATAGGAACTTACCTGGTTTATTTATTACGATGATTATTTATACTTGGCTCTATATCGAAGAGGTATAAGCGAGGTCGATAAATAAGGATGCGCGAACGAAATATTTAAGTATCGAATATCGAAGGATATACGATACTTAAATATTTATTTATCTATTCAAATATTAACAATCAATTAAGAATAAATTGCGGATTATTCAAATAACTGTTCAGCTATCGCGCATCGTGAATCAACTGCCGAAAAGTCCGGTCGTTGTTTAGCGCATTGACTTTTCGGTCTACATTAATATGTCTAGTAATCATAAATTTAAGCTGTCGGGTAACTCGATGCTCGGGTTGCTGAACTTTTAATTTTGCTAAGTTGGATCGATTGCTACATCGTAAAACAATAAATAAATGTTAAATATTACGTTTCGGGACGTAACAGATACAAACCATCACTGTAGAATGTGCACGATACAAGCCTCGAATTTTAATTCATTTACAAAATACATATGATTAGTTTCATTTATAAAGCTTGTCTCAAGTGTGTAGTAATATTATTAACGATACAAGCAGACATGAAAGTCGACGTATTTTCTTTTTTAACTGTGACACTTTCTATTATTTATTGCTTTATTAAATGCAATTCATTTTTTAAATAGTTTCAATAATTATATTGAAAATGTATAAATATCCAGAGTAAATTTTCGTCTCTTTCTAACAACCAAATACTAACTAGGCCTGTCATTTTCAAATTAATTCATGAAGCAATGACCTATTTGTTATAAAATACGGGTAAGTTTCTAACGCGTTAACACACACAATTACATAAGTGGTATTGAAACATATAATGTTGTCTTTATCATACATGTAAAAACTCAAACCTGACATTATTTTTTTGGATTATTAGGTTAACATTAAGAAACAAAAAAGTACAATTATATCGCCTACTATCTCTTAACTTCTTATCCATTTAAACTCCTTTTATAACATCGAGCATCAAAAATAAAAAATTTTCAATAAAAATATAATGACTATCAACCATTAGTACAATATTAATAACCCACCTGAAAATTGAGAAGTCCAAAAAAATTCATTCTAATAAGAGGATTTCGTCTAGACCAAATGTAAACTAGCATTATTGTGAAAGCATGTCCCAAAAATAGCAAGTTTACAAAGAAAGCAAATAACTTTAAACGTTGTAAGGAAACTTTCATTTTTTTCTTAATAGAATGATTATAATAGTATATGTATGTTTATCGTATCATGATATTTTCATTTATAATGCAAAGTAGTATATTCTGTACTAAGAGTCTTATATTTGGGAGTGCGATATAATTTATATATTGAGGAGAGCTAATCCAACATAAAATTAACATTTAGAATATAAAATTATATTATAACATTATTTTGCCGATAGAATAGTACTTTTTATAGCGCATTCAAGAATATAAAATAGTACATATATAAAAGAGATGCTAACAAATATATATGTAAGCAACTATTAAATTATCCAGAGTGCTCAAAAGATAACTAGCTATTTAAGAAGAATAAAAATAAACTAGATCCAGTTTAATGAAGTTTAGATGTTTCATGATTTCGGAATATACACGCATATACAAAATATACACATTTATCTATTGTTATTAATGGGATAGACTCTATGAGTCGACTTCACCATTTGCCATAGTGTATGTATTAATACATACTCATGCTTGATTTGTTGAGGTACAGATAATTTCATGGCGCACTTTACAACTGGTGAAGAGAAAGCGAGAGACAGAGACGGAGAGAAAATTAAAGATAGACAAATGGAGTGTACGAGGTCTGTCCGGAAAGTATCGGGCCTACGTTTATATCTTCGCACCATAGTGTTCGAGCGACCTCTACCGGACAGAAACGTCAACAGTAAAGCCTCACGAATCTATTGGTTACTTACTGACACCTGCCGGACGTATAGTTCAGGCGCAGCGTGTCTTTGTTTACAGTGCCTTTTTCGCGTTCGTCGGATTTTGATATTGTCAAAAATGACTGAAAAACAAGATCAACGAATTTGCATCAAATTTTGCTTTCAACTTGGAAAAACGAGTTCGGAAACTATTGAAATGATGCAAAAGGCCTTCGGAAGCGAGTGTATGAGCAAAACACGAATAAAAGAGTGGTATAAACGATTCACGGATGGTCGCACTTCTGTCGATAGTGATTCTCGTTCCGGTCGACCTTCGATGACAAAAACTGCAGATAATATTGACCGGGTGCGACTTGAAATCGAACAAGATCGTCGTATAACTATGCGAGAACTAGAAGAAGACCTTGGGATACCAAAAACTATCATTTCAGAAATTTTAACCGAAAATTTAGGAATGAAACGCGTGTGTGCGAAATTCATCCCAAAATTGCTCACAGCAGAGCAGAAGAACATTCGAAATGGTCAATAATGATGATAATGTGCTTAGAAAAGTTATTACAGGTGATGAATCATGGGTTTATGGTTATGATCCTGAAACAAAACAACAATCTTCACAGTAGAAGCATTCTGAATCGCCAAGACCAAAATAGCACGTCAAAGTCGGAGCAATGTTAAGTCAATGTTGATTGTTTTTTACGATTGTGAAGGTGTTGTACATCACGAATATGCACCAACAGGTCAGACAATTAATAAAGAATACTACGTTCAAATTTTGCAACGATTGCGTGATGCAGTAAAAAGAAAACGGCCGCACTTTTGGGAAAGTGATGACTGGCTTCTCAGCGCATTCATCCAATCTTGTGCAGCAGTTTTTGAGCAATCACAATATCGCATTGCTTCGACAACCTCCATACAGTCCCAACATAGCTCCTTGTGACTTTTGGCTGTTTCCAAAACTAAAAAAACCACTCAAGGACACCGATTCGATGACAAAACAACGGTTGAAAACAATGCGATGAGTGTACTTAAGGCTATCCCTAAAAGTGAGTTCCAGGACTGTTTTGAAAAGTGGAAACATCGATGGAACCGTGTTATTCAATCAAGTGGGGATTACTTTGAAGGATGCCACCTAGCAGGTGATAAAGAATAACGCTAGCACGAAAATATAAAGGTAGGCCCGATACTTTCCGGACAAACCTCGTAGAGGGCACGGGACGGAGTTGTGTGAATAGAAAAAGACAGTTACTGGTAAAAAAAAGGATGGAGAGCACGCATGTGAAAGAGTTTAGCTGAGAACATTAGGCGGGACACTTTATCTGAGTTTTTATTTTCGTAATCCCTGCAAAGAAACATGTACCAGCATTCGTCAAAATCAGTACTAAGCAACCATCGCCACGGATCTTCAAAAGTCATCACCCGTACGGAAGTGAAGGTGAGATTACGAACAAAACTTTCGTCTCCAAAAATAGGATGTCATAGCGAAGCATACTATCGATGCATTGACGAGCGAGCGGATCTCTCATTATGGTCAACAAGGCACTATCTTCGCAGGCTTGATATCTATAAGGTGCTCTACCACAACTACGACTACAGTATTCTTCGCCGAGATCTCGTTACTACAAGGATGGTCTCTCTCTCTCTCGCGATAAGATTTTAGATATGGCACTAGTTACACAGATTGTCATGCAGTATTGTGGCTAACCTGCAGTTTTGCGCGATCGACATTTTATTGCCATGCATATCTATGGTGCGTAGTGATCGCGCGTCAGTGCAGCTAGCAATAATTTTCTTTGTACCATGTTAATAGATGAATAAGGTATGTTTAAGGTGAATGTATGAAGATATGAGTAGATTTTTGGCCAATATATAATTATAGAGATCGACAACGTGATTGTGAGAGAGCGCGTACTTTGTCTCCCTTATTCTACTATTAAAGTAAAATTTAATATATATTTTTATATTCATTAAGAATTGCATTATTTTTACCACGTTATATTATTCATGAGAAACTAAACATTATATTAGTATTGTGCATACTGCTCTATAGCTGAACCGACCGAGAAAACAATGAACTATAGATTTAAGGAGTGTGATCTCGTGTAGGGAATGTGGATATTTCTCTGTCTCCCTCTCGAATAGTTGCATAGCGTGAAGGAAATATACTTCGGTAGGCTCATTATAAAACTCTTGAAGCAAAACAAAACTTAAAATGAGTGCTATTGTACAATGTAGAAAAATGTCGTTCAAGAAAGAGTAGTAATAATGAGAAGACATACGAACTGGTCAGGAAGAAGGCAAATAGTGAAGGGCCCATCCATATGAATTCAATGAAGAAAAAAAAATGAAGTCTTTAAATTTTCTAGAATTTTCTCACGGTATTCTATGTTAAATTTCATTAGACAAAGATTTTTTCCCGAAAAAATCGTTTCTGAAGTCCTGTAGAACCACATGAATTTATTCATCGAAAAACCGATATTACAAGAATATACATTAACATATTTTTTCAAATGACCGTATTTTCAACTCAAATCATGCTCTGAAAAATTTTTTTTTCAAAGTATACGGAATATACTCAGCTTTTACGTGGTTTTCTTTGATATTCGATTGCTTGGGAAATAGCCAAGAAAAATTGAAAAATTCGAAGTCATTTTTTTTCAAAATGAATTTTCTCAAAAAGTTTATCTTCGGTTTGCGCTAATTTTCGATATGTTATTTGAAGTTACATAAGCTATCTTTCTACCGAACTACAATATGTCATCTTGCTTTGTTCCAGAGAAGTAGCTGCGCAAAAAAAATCTCATATTTAACACACTTTTGTCCTGTTTTTTTCAATCCTACCGCTGTGAGTTTGTACTTTCTGAGAAAACAGTTGACATCATCATATTCTACGACAACAATACATCGAAAATATGTATCACATGTTGAAAAACCTTATTTTGTTGTCTGACAAAATTCGATATAACATGGTCGTAAAACGGCGCCCGTGCCGCCTATTGTAATAACCGTGTACATTTGATAGAATGTAATTTCTTTTAGATTTAAGGACAGCCAAAAATTATTTTCAAACATGTGACACAGGTTTTGAAGTATTTTTTGCTGTAGAATTCGCGCGATGCTGTTTCAAATATGAAAATCTAATAGATTCTTAAAGTGCTACGAACAAAACGCTGAATATTTCAGTGATTTTTTTTGCCAAGTTTGGTGAACTAATCGATTTCTCCGTACGTAAATCACACAATAATTCGTAAAATGAATACATATTCAAAACAAATTTTAGTTCATAACCCACTGATGGCCTACTTATGATTTCACGTAATACTGTTTCGTCCTCGAAACGAGTTGGAACTTGTAAAAAAGAAAACCTTTTTCTAAAATTCAAAATAGTCACGTTCTTTGCCAAAATAATAATACTTTATGTACCCCGTGTAAGTTCATTTACTTGTTTTTAAATATGCACGATTATTAAGACAAAACATGTGTAAATAGTATGGCTTAATCAGTTTATTACGTTCGTGCTTGCTTCGAGCTCCGATAATTTATAACACTCGTGACAAATGGGTCTTTGAGACTGTCTCAACTATTTTATGCTCCAAACTAATAATCCCCTTTCCCTCGGGAGCATCTTATTTTGTAAATACCCACGACCTTCCTATTTCCTTTTTGATCAATGAAAATTTTAATAAATCTATTTTGCAACGGTAGTCGATTCGATCAATCGATACATTCGCGATTCGGTATCACTCACGATGCTAGAGCGAACGTCTAAGAGAGAGAGTTTTCTGGATTTTGATTTGCGCGAGTTATTGCTAGGGTGCTAGAAATAAGGCAGCAATAATCCCAGTAGCAGCAAGCGAAACATCAGCATTTATCGGAGCTACAAACGATCTTTGTGAGTAAGGCAGCACAGCTGATTCCATAGAAGCACCTGTAGTTTTGCAGAATAACAATTACGGCTGATCACCATAATTTCACCGCAGGGTAGGTGCACCTCCCTTTTTCTGTGTGACAAAATACTTACGATAGTATTTTGTCAATCACGACCGTTTGGGTGTTCGCGCCGAGCGTTAAATTTCGCAGCAGAGTTTTGAATTTTCTCTCCCAGTATTATTGTTAATAATTGTAAATCCTATTAGCGTGCGTTAGTCTTTCGGCTCATCAAAGACTGTAATTTTCTAGTCATAAACGATCTTAATTGAATTCGCTGCATTACGTTATTTCATTCTCTTTTAGTTTAACGGATCTGTCACTGATTATTTTTTTAACCCGTTAAGGCCGAGAACG